ATATTGCAACTGCTAACCAATCTACGGCAAAAAAATGTTATTTTTACTTCCTTCTTTAAATTTCTGCTAAATCACATGCTTTACAAATGATTATGTGATGTCATAACTTATCTTTCTTTACTTCTTTTTTTCAAAAATCTTATTTATCAGTCAAAAACTAAAGCCTGACTGAGTAAGGCTGCGGTTATTTAAACTGTTTTATGTGCCAATCTTTTCCAATTTTTGATCGAGTAACCAAATAAAAAAAATACTTTAAATAGATTAACAGTTTGAAAAAATTATTCAAAACTGCAGACCATCGATTGTACAGTTTATTCAGCTGTGATAAAGAAAACTAATTTTTTTAAATAGCAAACTCTTTTCAAATAGCTCCATTCAAAACGGAGGTTACGGTGTAAAGAGTGAAAAATTTTTACCACAATTTTACGATACTACAGTTTGCAAGTTAATAGATCTTGTTACCGTTAACATTTCTCAGTGACAGTTACAATTTCAGTTCATAATTTATACGAATTTATAAAAGAGGAAAAAAAGTATAAAAAAGTAAAGATAGTTTTACACCAAAGAGAAGTGAACATTTGAAGCAAAATTACTTAATAATGACCTACAACTTATTTAACTTTACAACGGCATTTGTTATAATTCTCTATTGCTTGTTTTCTTTTTTTTTTTTGCTTAAAGTTTTATATAAAAAAAGACTAAATAGCAATTTAAAACGTTAAAATATTCTAAAAAATTACCCTATTTTCTTTTAGATTTATTAATACTATAATTCTTGAATACAATGATTTGAGAAATTACGAAGTAGGCAGTATAAAACATTTGTCGTGTCATCAGAGTAATATTATTTAAAAGTTGTATTTGTAATAGATGCTTAGAAAGAGAAAAGATTTTTTTATACAAAAACGATTATTTCTGCTACGCAAAAGAGGTGCTGAAACTGTCGTACAAAAGAAAGCTGTCTGTTGCATGGCACATCGAATACTTGCAGTGACTAAGGAATGATCAGTGAACAAAATGCTAAAAAACTCATAAGGTTACGCTTTCTGCAGTTATTGAAACAGCAGAAGTACGCCAGTTAAGTAGGATTTTTGACAGATACCGCAAAAAAAAAGTCAGAAGGAAGAGGCAGCGTCGTGTTAAGATGTAAGTGCACAGACGGTGAAGGATAATTTTAGAACTTATTTTCTTGTAAAAGTACAAGAACGGGAAGGGGAAAAAACAACTTGTGAAAACAGAAAATTTTTGTTGGTGCATAATGGTTGCGGATGTTCCAAAATGAAGTTCGCGACATAAAGTAAACGTACAACACAAATACAGAACAGTGCCAAAAAAAAAGGTGATTTTTTGGGCTAAAATTATAGCTCTTTTAATTTATTTTCTCAATTTTTATACATATACGACAATGGTACAGTTCTGTCAGCAACAAATAGCATTCAATTTGTGCGAGATTACGAAGCTTTCTGAAGAAAAATATTGAAAATACTGCTTATCAACAAACTTCAAATGCTTCTGTTACAAATAATAGCATAGAAATAAAATTTGTTGTACAATATTGCCAAAAAGTAGATATGACCTTTCTGTTTAACGTCGCTGTTGTGGTTTACAGAAATGTTATAACGTTAAACTTTAATTGACACATATGAATATTATCTTTCAATATTTATAACGATACGTCGTACGCTGATTCCATGAAGCCGTAGAAAGCATTTAGATATTATCGCCGGCTTTTAAGTCGCAAGACATGATCGACTACAATGCCAGAAAGTCGACCAACACTGATCAATTTTTGCTCTCTGATGATTTTACTTTTCAAAATTTGAAAACCAAACAAAAAAAAATCATTATAAGAAAGTCAGTTTTTTATTTGCAAATTTTTGAGCATTTTTCACGAACACACTTCTGATATATCTTTTACACAATAACTCTTCTCCTGATCCAGCTTAAAACAATAACTGTATGTCACAAGGTAAACAAGCAGTTAAACAAAAAAAAAGTAACAATTGGCTGTACATTCATCTTGAAACTTCTAGATACTCATCGACAATGTACGATTTATAAAGCTATTATTTTGGTTGGTAGTCGTTTAAAAAGCGAATAAAATAGGCGATAGATTTTGTTTTTTTCTCCTTTTTTTTCTGGTAAAATTAAACAGTTTCCTGCTTTTCTCAAAAAATTAACCAGACCCAAAACCAGCTTAAAATCGAACAAGAAAAAAGAGCTAACAAGCCGATAGGTAGACAAACAAGGACTATATATCTAAAAATAAATGAAAATGCTTTATCAAGAAAAAGATTGGCTACAAAAAAGTGATTTCGGCGTTTAAGCAATAGTTCTAAGTAACTTTGCTTTAAAAACTTATTAGACGAATCTATTAGATAATTTCTAATCCACATTACTTCAATTCCTTTCCTATAACACAAATACTGATGTAACAGTCTATACTTTAATCCAACAAAAAAATGTTCCTCAATCAGCTTTGTTTCTGTAATAAACTGCTGTAATAATAAATTACAAAGCAGTAATAAATTTTCAAACAAATTGATTTTTTTTTGTTTTTAAAAATAAAATTTTAGGTGACTGTTAGTAATTTTTATTTAATTTGTGCATAGTCAACTTTGGTGACCGCAAAAATTTAAACAGATTCTGTTTATAGTGCTTAGAAATTTGCAAATACAAGCTTGAATAGATTTGCTTAGCTGCACGTCAGTTATAGACAGTTCTTCCAACTGAGAAAAAAACGAAAAGGTTACGAAACCAATCAAATTTTATTTCTATTTATTGACTTATGAAACTGCTATGTCTAAGGTCTAACAGAAAATAAAAATGTAACAGTTTCATCAAAATCAATGCAAATAAAATGAGGTCAAATCACAGCGTTACCGTTAACTACTTTACAATACTTCGAAATCACTAAAAGCTGATCTTTGACAATGACCAATTTTACCTACAAACTCCTTATTAGTTGATCACATAAAACCTAAAAACTTTTAAAAATAATAAACTTTGAATAAAAGTTCCTATCTCACTAGAAACAGTCCCCTGAGAAGTAGAGGGAAAAAATGTAACTGGGTCAGTCTCGCTTGAATATAATCCTGAGACAGATAAAATACGAAAAAAATTTAGAACGTTTTTTGACAACTAAAACAAACTGTATTATTGAATTTTTAAGACTTACTTAACAACTGTGTAAGCAGTTCTTTTCAACATTCATATAAAAAGTCTACATTCCCGATTTTGTTTTCTAAGCAAACTCTGACAATGTTACTAGTAATAAAAAATAAATTTTTTCAATCAACAGTTATCCATTTGCAGCTATGCGTTTCATCTGACATCAAACGTTCAAACGTCTTCCACAAAACTGTCGATAAAAAAGGTTTTTTTAAAGCTATGCAATTCATATAAAGCTCTCAACAAAAAAAATTTTTCAAAACAAAATACTTCATTGAACAACCAGAAATGTTTCAAGTTACCCGATTTGGGAACGTTTTGAAAACATTTTCGGTTACGAAGAACAGTCTTAATTTCACTGTGTTACGGCCATTTGAGAGACCTTTATATAAGTTGTTAGCTAAACAGATTGGTTTTTATCTATTTGCTATTCTTTTGACAAGCTTTGGTGGCTTTATCAGAACAATGAGAATTTTTCTTTTTTATACTTACTTGTACATTTGCAGCTAAGCAACTCTCTGCACAGCAAATATATTCAAAAAAAAAAACAACCAACAGAAATAAGAAGTCTTGCAAAACTTTCCATCAATCAAAAAACAGTAGAAAAACTGTCGAAATATGGAAAGTTGTTTTTTGTAGAATATAAATAACGCAGGAGAAAATAAATGCAACTGTTTTATCAAACAAAGATTCCTTCTTCTTGATTTTTATATTTTACTCTTGACTCACAACGAGCAGAAAAGTTGGCTTTAAAAATCCTTCGCTCCAACTGAGAAATAACCACAATTTTAAAATAATTCGAGATTCAGAATGAATGCTGATTCATAAAGACTATTATTGGCAGACCTGATAATGCAATTATTCAAGAGCAAAAATTCCATTTTTGTTTTTGAAGTGATATTTGGTCGCAAACAATACCACAGTTTGTCAACGTGTATAAAGATCAAAAAACGTGTGTACTATCAGTTTAAAATTTAATATGACTCAGCATTTGAGAACAGTGGTCAACTACCAAATAACTCAGTTAGATCAAAATTTTAATAAATTTTTGCAGGTTTTTTCATTTTGCTTAAAATACCATGAGAAACGAGACAATAATATTCTTATCAAAAAAAATATAATTAATAATTTTTGCAGAACAGCTTTCAAAAAAATTTTTTGGCATTACGTTAATAAAACAATAGCTAACTGCCTGATTTTCTCTATTTCCTTTGCCTACTTGTTAAAAAAAACGGCTTTTAATTCTGTCCCCCACAAAGCATACTAAAGTAAAGTTTTTATTATCTTCCGCAAGTTCTTTCTTGAAAGCTACATGATATGACATATAAATTTACAAAAATAATGAGTAATACATCTCCAAGTTCCTCCCGTAGTCGTTTACTGCAAAACTAACAAACACAGAATTAAAAAAAGAATTTTGTTAAAAACTTAAGAGAGGTAACAAAAAACTAATCTAGTCGTTTCATTGAGTAAATTAGATGTTTACAGAAAAATTACAGATTTCTAGAACGATTCCATTATATTCATTTTTCCTCAATGCACAACTGATGCTGTTCCCCAATATTTGCCGGAAGACAACAATTGAGATATCCCTAAATTTTTTGTAAAACGAGCAGCAAACTCGTTTAAAGCTTTATCGTAGGTTAACAGGTGAATTTTGCTGCTTTTTAAAGGATAAATATTTTTAAGCATCTGCTTCATAAATGGACAATATGTTTTACAACAAATAATAAAAAAAAAGGATTACTAACATGTTGCTTAGAATCTTCATGCTGTAATGACATCGTTTAGTGACAAATTACTTTGCCATTCAACCACTGCATTTTCCTCCCCTTTATGCAGTTTAAGCTGAATGTAGATTTTTTATGGCCCCAAAAAGTGCATTGTTGTCCTTGTGATCATTTCCGTAACGTAAACACGTAGGTCGATATAGAAAGATCAACAACATTTTTTGAACTATATAAATTTGACATAGTATTCACCGTAGAATCACAATTCGCTTCCACCGCAGTATTCTGTACAGATGGCAAAATTTCTTGTAATACTAGGTGCTCTTGTAGTTGCTGCAGCTGCGCGAAGGCAGTTTCAACAAAATAGCGGACCCTTTGGTAGAAATAGCCGACAAGAATTCTATGGTCCTCTTGGCAACTGGGGGAATGAAATGAATGAATTTGGCAATGGGCGACCGGGTCAGATGCTTCCACCTCAAGATGGTTTCGGTTTTCCCGGTCAAAGACCTGGACAGGAATTTTCTCCTGAAAACAACTTTAACGAATTCATGGGACCAAGGCCAGGCAGGTTCCCAAGACCTGGACGCGGAGGTAATCCAAATGGCGGTGAATTCTCCCATCATGGTCACAAACCACATCATCCGCCATTCCCACCATTCTTCGCTAACCTAACCGAAGAAGACCTTCGACAATTCTTCAGCATTGTAAAAGACCGTAATCTTACAAAACAGCAACGTGATGATAAATTGAGTGAGTGGGCTGCAGCTAAAGGAAAAGAATTTGTTGTAAGTTACTAAATTCAGAAAGTTATTTCAAAATAAATTTAGAGTTATTTGTTATAAACTATTAAAACAATTTGCTTCTTCAGGAGCAATTTGAGAAAATGAAAAAGGATCGTGAAGAGTTTGAATCAAAGGTTAAGGAAGCAGTAAATAAAACTCTGGAAAACGTTACTGCGCTGATGAAAGAAATTGGTGAAGTAAAAAGTAATATGCAGCTTACAAGAGACGAAGAAAAGAGCCAAGTAGGTTTCAATAGCATAGTTTTTTATCTAAAAAAAAGAGCAGCTATTTGTTTGCGTCTTTTTTTGAAAAAATTTTTCGACATTGAAAACCTTGTGTTAACTGGTGCTTGTAAACAATGATGAAACAAAAATTTTAAACTTTTCAGATCAAGTCATTATTCTCCAATTACCCGAGATCTGTGATTAAAATTATGAAATTGGTAAAAGCTGAAGCAGTTAAAAATGTAATGTTTTCTCGTCCACCGCCATCACCGTTACCATCTAAAACCACTCCGTCAGTGACGAAATACCCAGCATTTACATCATCGTTTTGAATTTCATTTTCAATGAAAGCCCTTAATTTTGCTCTATGATAAAATGTAAATTTGTAATATCATAAGTAAATTGCAAAAATATGATTTGATTGCATCAGTAAAACTTTCCAAATCTTTACTGCGTTTATTTTGGGTTACATCGAACAAATAGTAAAAATTTTTTTCATACTAAGTTATATAGCAAGGTGCTTGATATTCAGTTAATAACAAACATGTGAGAAGTTTTTTTTTAAAATGCACTCAGCCACGTCGACAAGTACGTTAATTAGAAACTTTATGCAGAATAACGTTCAAAATAGTTGAAGTTTGAAGAATAAGCTGAAGAGTAACTCTTCTTTCTCCAACTCGCGTGACTTGTATCGTTTGATTACCCCTAAGTGTGACTTAAAATAAAATTTTTTTTGCCTATTAACACAGCAGGTACTCACAGTTAATTGAACATCATTGTTCAGTAAGCAGTACTTGAACGTGGTCATATCAACGTATTTTTTATATAGAGAAAATGCAGTGTGTAAGATTTGCTATAAAGCTTTGTAATGGTGATTCTTCATCTCACCTTTCATTTTTTTAATTTATTCTTTTAGGTAAGAGTCGTTGTCGGATTGCTTACCATTCTCGTGAAGTAAGTTTGTTACTCTTCCGCCTTTTCGCTTCTTCCTCACATTCTAAGTGATAGTTGGCAAAGTATCACAACATTCATCTTTCACTGCGGTGTTTTCATATTGCATTGCAAGAAGACGAAATACAAGTGCTTTCTGGGCTCGTCAAAATCCTTTGGCTGGGAGGGTTTAAAGAAGATTTTTGTGTTTTTGATTTAATCGGTTTTATACTTCTTTCAGGATAAATTCAAGCGCTGATTACAGCTGAAGTATTTATGGGTACATTTTTCAAAATTTCAATAATCATGAACAATTTGTTTTTTTTTTTCGCTCTCATTATTTTCGTGCTTTATATCTGTGATTACTAGATAATGTCTGCTAAAGCTAGGTACTTTTTTGTACCATTTTAAAGCTCAACAATTGTTTAACTTTGATTTTTATTTCTTAATGCTTTAAGAACTGTGGCAAGAATTCAACAAGTTTATACTTTTCACAAAAACTTAGCACAGTTTCACTATTATTTCATATCTTCTTTTTGCTGGACAATATAATACATTTAAACTACAGTAAACATTTTTATAATAATTTAATTTTCTTTTGGGCTCTAAATTTACCATTTTTAAATTCCGTTTTTCTCTACACATTCTTCCTACTGCTGTGTGCTTGAATGCTAAAAGAATTTTTTTCTGCGCGAAACCTGTTTCGCACTTTATTAAAGATTGTGCTCGTTCATAAACATCGTGCGGAAGAAATCCTCAAAAGTCTGCTACACACTAATAATAAAGTTCTACTTCCAGTGAACAGTTATAACAGCCTTAAAAAGACTCCTGATCCTGCTTTATCTCGCTTCCTCGTGCTTCAGTCTTATTCAGTACAATTATTTTACCAGATTTTTAGAATAGATCTCGTAAGCATGGTCGGTATAATTTGCAAAACTTTGTGCATTTTTCATATAT